CACAGACGAACACGTCGCCTTGACTGGCTATTTAAGCAGAGCACAACCCGGGGTCTGGGTCCTTCCTTCACCATCTGCTAAAAGAGCTGTAACAATAAAGTTGTTGCTGGACACTCCTCGGTTGCCGCGTCATCCTTATCGGCGAAGGCTGCGCGCGACACTTGGGTAGTTGAAAATTTCCAAAGTCATAGAGACCATAAGTAATGCCACCAAATTTAGGTTCCCAAATGTGGGGAATTTTGAAAATAGATAACTTGAGGGTATAGAGCACCACAAGGGTCAGAAATGTCAGGGTAGGTGGGACAACATGGGTGCTTGAGATGAAACTAGTGGAGAGATCAGGGCAGCCCTTGCCAAACTTCATCAAAGTTGACTTCTAGTTCTTTCTACCAAGTCCTAAATTTGGTCTAGAGTGTACAAAAGAAAGGCTGGAAAAATAAGTCTAGTGTTTTCTCCAGTGATCAAATATAAGTAACAGCCCCCACTCCCTAGGTCCAACCCTGGTTAATCTTGTAGTTGATCTCAGGATAGAGAAGATAAGTGTTTATGGTCTGTCTGAGGTTCTGAGTTGTGCTCTTCTCTCAGGTAACAATTTCCAGAACGGTTTTACAGAAACAAGAGGTTCAGTTATTTAAAATGTATTAATTTACTAGTGTATATGTGTGTGTGTGTGTGTGTGTGTGTGTGTGTGTGTGTGTGCGCGCGCGCGCACACGCATGTGCGCGTGCAGAGTACATGTGGCGATCAGAGAACAACTTTCAGACATCAGCTTTCTTCTATGCTGGGATCCTAGAATCCAGCTCAGGTTGTCCAGTTTGTGAGGAAAAGCACCTTTAGCCACTGAGCCGTCTTGTTAGCTGAAGGAGCTCAATTCTTAAAACTTTGGTAGGAAAACCTTTTGTAAGCAAGCCAATTCCCAAAGAGGACCTTCCTCCTAAACTGCCACGCCCCTCCTCTGGCTCTGCCCCGAGACGGTAATAACAGAAACTTTGCCCCGCTTCCGCCATCTGAGCCATGTATCTCTTTCACGTCCACTTGGAGAGTTAGTTATGTGTGCTAAGTTCCTCAGAGGCACATCTGCATCTATTTTAGTTTCCTAGAGCTGAGAATCCAGACAGGTCTGCTGAATATGCACACTTGGGCCCCAAGTTTGCCTTCTAATCTGCTCGCAAAACTTGTAATGCCCTTCATGGGAACTTCTGAAAGACACTTAAGGGCTACAGGGCTCCCTGCCCATGTGGTAGGCTTCAGTCCAACCTTGAGTTCTGTAATTTAGGTAAGGTGACTGGAAAGTCATCCTATTCATAACTTTCTCGCTTATGCTAATGAAGTGAACTTAGAGATATAAAATCCCCGATTCTATTTTATTCAGAATAAAAGTGAACAGCTAATGACAGATCCAGTCTGAGGGAATTCCTTACTGGTGAGTGTTTAATCATGTTGTTGGTTGGGGGTTCACCAGATTTCCCCTCTGTAGCTAGCCTAGCCTAGCGTGTGTCACCTCCTTTGTTTCCCATGAACACTTCTCTCATGTTGGTACTTATCATATGCCTTTCCTATTCTCTGGTGACCGTAGGGACTCCTGCACCATCTCAAGTTTGGTAACATTTAGTTTATAGTTTTTTTTTTTTTTTTTTTTTGTGACTTACATTTATTTATTATTTTATGTGTATTGTGAAAGCATGTGTATGTGTAGAAGTCTGAAGGGATTGGTTGTCTCCATCATTTGTGTCCCAGGGATTATGCTCAAGTGGTAAGATTCAGCACCCTTCCCCACTGAGCATCTTACACTACCTAATTCAGTCTTGAACACATAGTTTGGGTCACATCATGCCCTGTTCTGAAATATTTGATTATTTTCTATTTCTGTTGCCTTAAAAAATGAAGTCTAGTCTCCATAGTGAAATTGTAGGGTGCCATGAGGTGCCTTAGTAAGATATCAGAAGGAACTCACAGGTTTTTGGCCTATGTCAAGTGAAAGGTTTGAGGAAGCAGGGCTTTGCCCTAAGTTTTACATTTTTAGGATCGGGGTTATTATAATTGTCTTATCACTTAAAAAAAAATCAGCCATGGGAGATCAGAGAGAGGTCCATGCTGTCACAGACAAAGCACTGGGTGTTAATTCTAATAGCCGGAATTTTGGGTGTCCAGTTACAGTTATGGTTGCAGAAGGCTGGATGCTTTTCTATATTCAGACATCTTACAGAGTGGCTCTATACCTGTTACAATACATTTCACTCACATAGCAACTTCTGGCATTAATGTCTCATGGACCTGCTTGCTTTCAGTAGGACAACACCCATGCCTACACATTAATACTAGGTTCATTTTCATTTTTCTCTGTATAACTGATAAAAGATAAATCGACCAGTATCTCATTGTAAAATAGTCCAACTTAACTATTAACATTAACCTAGCATTAATGTTTCCCTCCTGGGAGAGAAGAGTTCTTGGGCTTTGACTTCCTTAATTCAAACTGTAACTTGTTTCCTCTAGCTGGAGAATCTTTTCAAACTTCTGGGTCTCTGTTTTCTCAAGTACAGCATAGGATGAGTGCTGATAGCTGCTACTGAAAGGAAGACTGATGGATACTGTCCACAGAACATAGTGCTGGACTGAGGAAGCCCCATCTAGCACAGCAAGGAGGAACCTGGGAACCACTTTTTTAATCCAGGAGAGTCGCAAAGGTAGCCCTGGACCCAAAAAAGGCCCCTAGTGTACATACCACACCTTTTTGGCCTCTTTTGGAGGTCTTGAATCCAAGATGACAAAAGAGAGAGAGAGAGAAAAGAAAAGAAAAAAAAGAAATAAAAGAAACAGGGGTCATGCTAAAAAGGGCTCTGGCCACGTGCAGCCAATTTGCTGCATGATCAAGGACAAGGCCATTAAGAAGTTTGTCATTCAGAACATTGTAGAGGCCACTGCTGTCAGAGACATATCTGAAGCAAGTATTTTTTTTTTAATTTATGCGCTTCCCAAACTCTATGTCAAAATGCATTATTGTGTGAGCTGTGCCATTTGCAGCAAGGTGGTCAGGAATCGATCTCATGAAGCCAGGAAGAACGAAACAACTTCCCCCTCCCACACATATACCATGATTTAGACATGCTGGAGCTGCACCACAGCCTCCACCAAAGCCCATGCAAAGACACAAGGCTTTGGTGAAAGAATGACAGAAGAAAAAACAGTTTGGACAAAGTAAAATGGAAATTATAAAAAAAAAAGCCTTGAAGAAGAAGAAGAAGAAGAAGAAGAAGAAGAAGAAGAAGAAGAAGAAGAAGAAGAACAAGAACAAGAAGAAGAAGAACAAGAAGAAGAAGAACAAGAAGAAGAAGAACAAGAAGAAGAAGAACAAGAACAAGAAGAACAAGAACAAGAAGAACAAGAACAAGAAGAACAAGAACAAGAAGAACAAGAAGAAGAACAAGAAGAAGATACCAGAAAAGCAACTCTAGACAAATAAATAACTAACCAAGGAAGGAAGAAGACTGACATGGCAGGAAAATGTCAAAGGAAATGAGAAGGTTTATGGTTCAAACATGTAACTGGTTTTCTTTTCTCTTCTTCCCCCCCTTTTCTTTCCCTTCCCTCATGTCCTTCCCTAATAAAGAACATGGAGGATTCTTACCTTAGCAGAGACACAGCTCGAGAGAAGGGCATGGGTTGTATTGTGTGGTTCCCTTTGGTGCATAAGGCTTGTGAGCTTCAAATGCTGCCAGAAAAATTGATGTGAATATGTTTAGTTATGCACATTAATCCTTTGTACAAACAGGATATATAAAAACAAGAGAAAATGTGACAAATGACGATTTCATCATTACAACAAAAGGCAGAAAATGTAGAATTTTTTATGACAAAATGTAAGAAAGTAAAATATTAAATCTAACAAGCTAGTCTTACAAGAGGTATATAAATCATGTTTATTTATTTTCAAAAATCCTCTTGGGTAGCATAAAATAAATATCTAACTCTGTGATATTATGAGGGACATCTATAAAAGAGTTAAAAATCAAAAGCATGGAAAATATATCCATAAATGCCAGCAAAAGACAGCAGATGTAGCAATATTAATATGAAACAAATTGAATTCTAGGTGAAAAGCGTTCAATATTTTATGAAGATAAAAATACATAATCCCAAAGAAAATGAAACATAAATCTTTAGTAACGTAGATTTGAAATGTATGTAGGACACAAAAATTAGACAAAACACTATTATATTTTCTAATATCAAGTGTGGATTTACTGAATTTTTCCTTTATTTAGCTAATTCTCCATAGAAATGAATCAATCAAATGGCCCCACCCCCCCCAAAAAAGTGATACGAGAGCACCAGAAAGTATAATGGAGCTCTCAAGGAGATAAAAAGTTAAAACAAAAACAAAACACACACACACACACACACACACACACAAACACACAAACCTGATGCTAAATGGAATAAAGGGAGGGGTAACCTCAGAGCAAGACCCTATCCAGCTCAGCTTCTAACTTCTGAAAAGGAATTTTTTAAAATCTTACATATTGAAGGAATCCATCAGCAACAGAAGGTTGGTGCAAGTGCAATTGAAACGGGGGTCAAGTTCTAGCCCCAGTAAGCAGCATAACTTTGCAGTTTTGGCCACATGGTTCTGGCATTAGAGTCAAGGATACAAGAACGGGGCTGTGGAATTTCCCTCTGTGGCTATGGAAGGCCTCTGATGCCAGGTGTGTGTCAGGGCTGGTCCCATGTGGAGACCTAGAGAGGCTGTTGCATGAAGCAGTGAAGGTGGAGCCTGGATTTATTAGAGCCCCCAAGATGTTGGAAATTCTAGAGTCGTGGAATACCTGCCAAGGAGAGATGCCATATGTTGTAGTTACCAAAGCTGAAAGGAGTTGGAGATCCGGAGAACACTTTGACATCAGACATGGAGATGTAGAATTCAGAGTTTGCCTTACACATTTTTGTTCTTGTTTTCAGGATGTCTTCATTATGCTCCCTTCCTCCCTTTTGGAATGATAATGTATATTCTGTGACTTTGTATGTTGGAAGTATGCAGTCTGTTTTCATTTGTGTTTTGTTTTGTTTTGTTTTAACTGGGTTTATAGTTTGGATTGAATGTATTTTTGTGTTAAAATATGACTACAGGCCTATGGGGGCCAGCAAGTAGAATGTGGGTGGTTTGAATACAGATGGCATTTAAATAGATTTAAATGCTTAGACACTAGGGAGTAGAACTCTTTGAAAGGATTAGAAGGATTAGGAGTTGTCCACTTGTTGGGGGAAGTGTGTCACTGGGGGTGCGCCTTGGGGTTTCAAAAGCACATTCCAGGCTAGGCTAGTCTCTCTCTCTTTCTCTTTCTTTCTGTTTGTCTGTCTGTCTCTTTCTATGGATCAAGACATAGCTCTTGACTACTGTTCCAGCACATGTGTTACCATGCTCCCTGCCATTAAGATAATAGACTGAACTTCTGAAACTCTAAGCAAGCTCCCAATCAAATGCTTTCTTTTATAAGACTTGTCTTGGTCTTGGTGTCTCTTTACAGCAATAGACTAGTGACAAGGGGGGGCAAGATGGCGGTGCTGGGAGGTCTCTCATTCTGAGCAGCAGCAGAGCAGGATTGGCACAGTGACCAGCAATCAGAACTTGCGGCCATAAAACACAAGTGATTGTGTTTCCCAGGTGAGAGGATACCCCACGGTGGGGGATTCAATCAGCTTTAACTCACCCGGCTAAACCTCAGAAGAGATCCTGATTCTGCCAGGCCCTTGGTCGCCAGCCCAGAGCTACACGCCAGCGTGATCTGGTCACTGCCTCAGACTGAACTGTGGGCCCAGAACATCACAGACTGGATTTTCCAGTCGAGAGATAACCCTACGGAGCAGGAAACGATTGAGACCAACCTTAAGTCACCCAGACATCTCCTGGAAAAGACTCGGGTTCCGCGGGTGCCCCAGGAGCCAGCCTGGAGCCAGAACCGGGGACCCAGGCGCCTGCACAGAGCCCTGTCTGCGTGCCTGATTCACCGCCTCAGATAGAACTGTGGGCCCCAGGGCACCAGAGACTGCATTTCACTGTCAGGTGCAAACCCACAGGGAGGGAAATGGCTGGTCTGATCTCAGAGCACTCAGCCGACACCCCCACCCCGAAAAGGTCTCCGGAAAATTATCCAGTTTAGGCAGCCGCCCAGGCTCCCAAAGGCCAGAAAGGCGGAGCCACGGGCGGGTGTCTGTGCCTGTGGGTTCTACTCGCCACCCCAGACAGAACAAAGGTCCCTAAAGCAAAGACTGTGTGTCTCTGGCAGGAGGAAACCCCCAGCAGAGGGGATCATCAGGTCTAACGCTCAGGACACCCAGCACCAAAAAACTTTCTGGATTCACGCAGACTCTAGGCTCTAGCTTTCTAATGCAGGCAGGAGTGCTGTGCTCAGCCACCATTATTGAGTACTCCTAGGGCACTGGGGCACACAGCTGCATCCTCAGACATACAAAACCCGGAGAGCCATTACAGCAGCCTTCAGATACTGTGCCAAGGATCAACCAGTTATCCCTAACTAGACTGACAAAACTGTGGGAATCCCTGGTCCTACAAGAGGGCTGCACCCACAGTGTCTGGACCAGAGCAGTGCCTGCAGCTGCCATCCCAGACAGGGACACACAGCTTCTGGTCCAGAGTGAGGCACCCAGCCTCCAGACCAGAGTGGCACCCCCAGGCGCCAACTCAACCTAGGTGCACATTCTCCAGGCCCAGAGCGGAGCACTCAGCCTCTGGCCCAGAGACTTGCTGGGCGCACCTCTCACTTTCCCGGGCAGAACTGTGTGCCCCAGGATAACAGACTGAGTTTCCCTGTTGGGAGAAAACCCCACAGCTAGGGAATCAGCAGGTTCTTCAAGAGGACTGTACCTGGAAAACTGTAACAGCAGCAGCTCACTAAATTTATAACGAGAAACCCAGCAGTGGGGCAGCTGTCTTGAGAACTTCTATGGGTAAGAGGAGATCCCCCCCTGCCTAACAAAGACCATAGCTTCTACTCAGGGCTATACACCTGAGGTGAGCAGTGGCAATTCCTGAGAAACACTGGCCATACAGTGACCATAACCAAAAAGCAGAGGAGGACTCCTTCAGGAAAAATCATCTTCTGGCCAAGGGGATTCTCCCTACCTCAGGACTCCAGGAAGCACAGAAACTAACAGCCAACACCTAAAACAGCCCAATGGGTAGAGGTCAGCGTAAAAGCTCAACCAACAAAAGACAGAGCAATATGGCATCTCCAGAACCCAGCCATCCAGGGGTGAACAGCCCTGGACAACGCAGCATAATAGAAAATCAAGAAGATGACCTTACATCTATGCTGATGAAGAGGATAATAGAGGAAACAAATAAAATGTGTAAAGAATTAGAGGAAGATAAAACCAAACAGATCATGGCTATCCGTAAAGAAATAGAGGAAGTTAAAAACAAGCAGATTATGGCCATCCGTGAAGAAATACGGGAAATGCAGCCAAAGAGTTTGCGGCCTTCAGAGAAGAAATAATTAAATCACTGAAAGAAATAAAAGAAACAGAGTTGAAGGAACTAAAAGAAAAAGAGGAAAATACAACCAGATAGGTGAAGGAAGTAAACAAAACAACTCAAGACTTGAAGATAGAACTGGAAAAATTAAAGAAAACACAAATGGAGGAAATAATGGAGAGGAAGAATTTAGGGAAGAAAACAGGAACTACAGAGGTAAGCATAACCAACAGACTACAAGAGATGGAAGAAAGAATCTCAGGTGTAGAATATACAATGGAAGAAATCGATGTATCTGTCAAAGAAAATGTTAAATACAAAAAAATCCTGACACAGACCGTCCAAGAAATCCAAGACAATATGAAAAGACAAAACCTAAGAATAATAGGAATAGAGGAAAAAGAAGACTCCCTTCTCCAAGGCCCAGAAAATATTTTCAACAAAATCATTGAAGAAAATTTCCCCAAGTTAAAGGAGAAGCCAATAAGAATACATGAGGTCTACAGAACACCCAACAAATTTGACCAGAAAAGAAAATCCTCCCGCCACATAATAATCAAACAGTAAGTATACAGAACAAAGAAAAAATACTAAAAGCTGCAAGGGAAAAAGGCCAAGTAACATATAATGGCAAACCCATTAGAATCACACCTGACTTTTCAACAGAAACTATGAAAGCCA